GGGGGGGGGGGGGGGGGGGGGGGGGGTATCGTACATGCCCGCGGCAGTTGACAACTGTACAGTTCAGACGGGGGACGAACTGTTTGAAGGTTTTGCCGATCAGGTCATAAGCGCGCGCCGTGGGGAGGAGGGGGTCGAGGAGGGGGAGGGGGAAGGGTGGTTCCAGAAAGAACAAGACGCCAGCGGGAAAGCACGAGTTTTGGTACCGCTCCAACAAGCGGTCGGAATCATAGGCCGCCATACCTCCACATGTTGTGCTTGCTGCTGTAAGTCAAACCAGACCCCCCTCCCTCTCCACCAAAACGACCGCACAGATAGTATCGCTGAGGACCACCCCTTTATCCCTATTAAATCCATTTATCCTTATAAAACCCCTTTATCCTTATTAAACCCCGTTATCCGAAAAGGACTGGCCTTCACAGGCATCGGGCCACTTTCCAGTACGTTCTGCGTAGCATCTCGACGGTTTTCGTTGATTTGGGTGAACTTGGGCGCAGGGGTGGTAAGATTCGGTAGAGGTGACGAAATATTGCCCTTTTCGGCTGAGCGGGTATTTTTCGTAGCACATAAAAGCCGTATTAGGGCAAGCTGCACTAAAAGCAGCAAATAGAGGCATGAAAACAAGCAGACGGCCCTTCTTTTGTCAAGCACACGCGTGAATGTACGCTTGTTTCGGATACTGTCAACAGGAAGGAGAAGCAACTTAAGCTGTCGTGGGCTTCACCCCCCAAAATGGAATGTGCGCACATGAGCTCACCTTTGTGCATACCTGTGCTGCCACGGGTTGTGCTTGTACAACTTGAGTAAAATAACACCAGCAACACCATTACACAACCAACAAGATACCGGTTTAAACACTCCTAGATGCCTTTTCTCGTTTGAAAAGTATACGGTGGGCCCTCTGCGTAAGGGCTTGCATCTCAACTGCTACCACAATCACGATATAAAAAATTTTCACCCGCGAGGGCTCTGCGTCATGCAGGAACCCAGCCATTTGCTGTGCTACTGCTATAGGTTCCTAAAATCCTCCTCACAGCTTGATTGTCAATTTTTCAACCAAGCACTATCGAGTACGCTCGCTCACAGCAGGGCGACTGGCTACGTCTCACAGCACTCTACCCAGGAACACTGCAGGTTCGCTCAAACAACCAAACGCCCGTTTCGCGAAGTGGCTGCTGTTGCATCAATGGCACTGGCAATCTTACCTCCTCGCTCGCTTCATCTTGGACCGCTGTTGCCTTGGGCGCCACGAGGGACTTGGACAGCGCCCTGGCCATCTGCATGTGCTCCTGGTACTCCGTCTTGGGGGTCTTGGCAACTTCCGTCGACGCTGCAGCGTTTTATTATTTTCATTTCAGCGGGTTTGGAGTTTTTCTGTTAGTTCGGGGCGTAAGCTTATCGCATAAAGAGTTCAGAGTTTGCAGCTCGCACGTGGTGTTCGCCGGACACCTTCTTGGGGGGGGCGGGGGGGGGGGGACTCTTATGTTTTATATGCCTTAGCGGTTAGGCCATTGTCCACGCGTCCTCGAGAGGACGGAGCATTGTTCCCACAGGACCGATCACCGATGGCCAATCGTTCCTTTCTACTTTGCCAAAGGTGGCTCAAAAATGTCTTCCCTAGTCTGTCTATCCTAACGATATCCCTTCCCGCCTTTTCAACCCACCTCCTATGCCCCACTACACGTACCGTCCTTTCCTCTCCATTCCATTCCTCAAACATCTCCCTGTACGTTCCATCTATTTTCCCAGCTCAGTCACAAACACTCCCCTCTCCTTCTTGTACCACGGACATTCCGCGACTACATGAACACGGTCTTCGCATTCGAAGCCGCAATCACATTTGAACTCGTCGTCTTCCTCGTCTACCGTCCCATGTCTTCGTCGACGTTCTCGAAGGCCTATGTCCCCGGTCCTGAATTTGACCTTAAGCTTTGTTCCTGCATCCATTGGTCCATGTAGGTAGTCCTTGAACCCTATTCCTTCCTTCAACATTCCGTACACTTCTAGACCCTCCTTATCCTTGGATTCTTTTCTTACATTCTGTTCTTCTCTCTCGGCACAAGCAACGGACATCTTCTCCTTGAACCCCTGTAGACCCTCCGTTTCCAGCGTTCATCTTCCGNGTCGAGCCCCTTCCATACGTCCTCTACAACCTTGACCCATTCCGTGGGTTGTCTACCCCTCTTTTTGTTTGCCCACTTCGCCTCCCATACAATTCTCGGCAACCTCTCCTCTCCCATCCCGCACATGCAATACTGCCATGTCAGCTTCCTCGCGTCTCTTCCCGACAGTAAGGATTGGATCCCCAATTCTGCCCTGACGGCTGCATTGCTTGTGCGCTTGGAGCATCCTAGGATGATTTTCGCTGCTGTCATCTGCGCCGCCTCGAGTTCTTTCACTACCTTCTTACTTTCTTCTCATACTCCTCCGGCGTACTCTAGCGGCGGTACGATTACGCTCTTCAAAACCGTCAATTTGATGCGTGTATCGAGGTGCCGG